ACCACTTGAGCCACAGCACCACTTCCAGCTTTTTTCTTATGTGGTACTGAGGAATTGAACCCAGGGCCTCAGGCATGCAAGGCAAGCGCTCTACACTGAGCCACCTTCCCAGCCCCCAACATTTTAAAATCAGAAGGAGGTGTTACATCTACTCAGATGCCTTGAAGGTGTTAATCATATGTTCTGTCTTCCTATGACTTAGTCTAAAAAGTATAAAATTGCAAAATCAAAAGCAGTCAGTGCTTCACGGCCAGTTTCCCGGCCCCAGAGCCATCTTTGCAAATGAGGAAGGAAAGGCTCTGGAGAGCAGATGGTGAAGATGGAGGCCACAGGCTTTCATGTGTGAAGACACACATGATAGGCAGAACCAGGCATGTACACATGCCCCCACAATCACCACTCCACACTTCTGGCCTTAACAGCAGGGATCCTTTCAGAGAGAAGCTACTGAGCTTTTGAGATAGAAATGACTAGAAAGGAAATAGCTAGGGAAGGAAGGAGTAAGCCACAGAGGGGTCTGCAGAAGAGTGAGCTCCAGGGAGCAAGACACACTCCAACTAATTTAAAAGGCAAGGTAGGGACTGTGTTAGTTTCCTCATGAGGCGGTGTCTGTGAGAACAACTGCAGCCATGAAAGCAGTGTGCACACCAAAGGGGCCCTTGGCGGGTGGCAGGAATCCACATGTGGGCTTCCAGGGTGGCCTTGAAGGCAGATAATCAAAAGCTTCCAGCATGTCCTTTCTCCAGCCCCTCTCAGGACGATCCTGGGGAGCCTGGGTACTTGCCTGGGCGCTAGCCTGCCACCACTTTCCGACCTCTTGCTTAATATCAGGGATTATACCATGTTAGGCTAACTAGTCACCATCCAACTACAACTTTCAAAAAAGCACTCACTCTGCAACACCTAAATGAAAACAACTTACCCCAGCAAACGCCCCATCGTGCGGAACTCAGCTCACAAAGGGAACTAGGCGGCAGGATTTTCCTCACAGGGTACTCCAAACAGGCCTTGTTAGTATTGCACCACAGACACTGAAAGAACGACCAAGCAGATGACGTGAGGCCCTCTGCCCCTCCAGAGGAGGAGAGACCCTGGCCAACAAATGGTTTGTCTCGGCCTCGCTGCCCTTCAGGAATGCCCAGTGCCATGGTCAGTGACTCTGTCATGGAGAGTAGCCCAGTCTCTCCAGTGGACCAGATGGCTGCCTCTTGCCAGAGCCCTGTTCCCTACTGCTGTGTGAGGAGCTGAGGGGCGGCTCCTGACAACTCTGAGAAAGCACGGGTACCACAGCACACCCATGGCCAGGGCGCCGGCCCCACAGCACTGCACTGCAGAAACCAGCAGGTCCTCTGAGTGCCATCACATACTAGACCTTCTGCCACGTGGTGTCACAGCCCAACAGACCTCTCAAGTTTACACAGAAAGCCTGGTCATAGGCAAGTGGCGGTGTACCAACTGCAGTCTAGGCCTTGTCTACTAATACCAGCATACCATATGTTTCTCAGCTAGCTCCAGGGAGGGTCCCGCCTGAAGTAGGAGTGAAGGCAGGGTCAGTGACCACGGTCAGGGGCAGCCTGTTTCCAAAGGCTGGAGTCATCTTTAGCAACTGTCGAGCCTCCCAGAGCTGAGGAAACAGGTCTGCCTCAGGCCTGCTCCCCACCACACCACTCACCGAGACGTTCTTCAGGCATTCTTCACAAGATCTGTTTGTATTCTGAGAACAACCTGTGGGGGAAACAAGAGCGTCACCAAGGGCACTAGATCAAAGAGGTGCCAGAGCCAGCACGAGCACAGAATGCCAACGCTGTGACCCTCTGACTTAAGTCACCAACTTTCCTGGAGCCAGCCTGCTTCAGTGTCCAGTCAAGTGATTGCTGCCCACAGGCCTTTGGGAAGAGCCAGAATATGGCTCTCCTCCAGAAAGGAAGATTCCAGATGTAACAGCTCTCCCTGAAAACAGGTGTGCCAGGTGACTTCCCCATCATTAGCCCAAACAGCACACTCTCCTGGGAGACAAGATCACAGCAACATTGTGATAATGGCCAGAAGCACAGTATGCACATTGACTTCGCTCTAATCCTCCTGGGTCCTGGACAGGGGAGCACTCCCCAAGCACAAGGGAAGTGCTGTGGCAGCCAAGAGGAGCCCGGGGCAGACTCACCTCCTCCGCACAGATCAGTGTTACAGGAAAGGGCACACCACGTTCAACAGCCACAGAACAGAGCCCATCAGGAGAAAAGAAACAGTGAGGGAACCCTTCCCCACATGCACTCAAACAGCACCTAGCAGCAGCATCCCCCCTCCACACACACACACTTTGAGAAAAAGCCTGACCCTCCCTCTCTAAAAAGTTACAACATACATCCTATCTAGCTGTCTATGTACTACTGGTTGCTGAAGTAAGGCGAATTAAAACTGCAGTGAGACACAGAATGGCTATAACTGAAGGGACCAACAGGCTCAGGTGGGGCTGGCAGGGATTTTAGCTCAAACCTTTCCCAAAATGGCTACAGCTGCTGACAAAACAACAGGTGCCCTTTCTGTAATTCCATAATTCCACCCCAGGTATTTTATCCAAGAGAAGTTAGAATACACATCCAGCTACACCTGGGCAGGTGTGTGCACACTAACTACATTTTTACAGCTCCACATTGCAGATGTCCACATGTCTAACTCCAGGAGGTGAACAGCCAAACAAGACCCAACACTATTTAACTGTGGAGACAACTGTGGATGGTCTTTTAAGGCCTGGGAGCAGAAAGAACCCTTACACACACTGTGCACTAAGGGAACTTATCCACTCAGCATGCAGACGGTGGGCTTGGGGGGAGGGGGCACATTCTGCATCTGGACAGGTGCCTGAGCCACACAGGACTAACTCATCCAAAGGCACACCTAAGTTTTCTGTGATTCATTGTCAGAACAAAAACGCTGGGCGCTAGTTACTAGCAGGGATGGGGTAGAACAAGAGTGGATATGTCTCCTGAGCTGCCACCTATGAGGTGGCTCCCTGCACTTTCCCGCCCCGGCATAGCTGAGTAACACCTCAGCCTGCACACTGTGGTGCTCTCAGAAGCTGCTACAAACTCAGAACTTGACCCAGACAGGACAATACCAAATCGAGATCCTCAAAAGACCACAGACAAAGGAGCTGTTCCAGGCACTTGAGGTTGGAGACAACTCAGGTACCTTGTGGTCCTGGATGTCAGGGGTTTGGTAGCTGGCTGAAGTCTGCATATGGTCTGTATGCTAAACCAAGCATTCAAGGACCTCATCAATCTTCAACGTGCAGATTTTGGTAATTATGGTCCACTTGTGCAGAAGGAAGCCCTCCATCTTGGAGAAATGACTTTTGAAGAATTTGGAGTACAAGGCCTCCTCAACAACTTGCTCGTAAGTTTGGCTAAAATAACAAGCAATTATAGTTTGTCAATTAAAAAAATGAAGACACCAGCTATTTTACAGAACTAGTAGATGGAAGGCGTGGTACAAACATCCAGGCAACAAAAAGCCACTGGGACTGGGGGGCACGCTCCGCCAGTGCCCAGGCTGAGATCCCGCTCTTCCCCTTGGGAGGGAGACACATAGTATGCTTAACACATCCACTTTCAGCCTTTGGACAAACATTCTCTACTAAAAGAAAGGAGACTCCTCCTTCTGGTCAGTCCTGACTGCGGCCTTGGTGAGGAAGAGGCACAGGACCTTTGTTTTCATAACTGCTGTGTGAACTGAAAGAAATATGCCTGGAGAGACACACCCTCAATTCTGTCTACCCTTGGGCCTCTTGATTACTGGCCAGTGTGAGTCAACAAGAGGCCAGGACAAAGAAGCAGGCTGGCTGCCCAGCCTGCTCCTCCTCCTCTTCTACAGGCCAAGAACAAGGCCTGTCTTCAGTATCAGGAAACACAAGTGTTGGGACAGTCAGCTTTAAAAGAATTCCAGGATTGGGAAGGTTTGTTTGGTTCCCTGTGGTGCTCACGGAAAGCTCCCGTCCTGTGCAGCAAGAAGGGAATACACTGGCCTATGGCCCCTGCTCTCCAGAAAACTAGTATGCGTTTCTCAGAGCCACACTGGCTCTCTGACCTCATCATAAGATGGAGAAAATCATGTGCTGTGGGATATAAAAGAAAGCATTTGTATTTTTTTTTTTTTGGTCGGCCGTGGGGCTTGAACTCTGGGCCTGGGCGCTGTCCCTCAGCTCTTCAGCTCAAGGTGATCGCTCTACCACTTGAGCTACAGCACCACTTCCGGTTTTCTGGTGGTTTATTGCAGATAGGAGTCTCACAGTCTCTCCTGCCCGGGCTGGTTTTGAACCGTGATCCTCAGATCTCAGCCTCCTGACTAGCTAGGATTACAGGCGTGAGCCACCAGCGCCCGGCTAGCATTTGTATTTAAGTGTGGAACTGAATGTAAATGCCTGACTTTAGAGGTCTTATGATTTTGAGGTTTCACCTTAGATTGCTTTGTTTTTTGGTGGTACTGAGGCTTGAACTCAGGGCCTTAGAACTTGCTTGTCTGGCCTGCTACTACTTGAATCACACTTTCAGCCCTGCTTTTTGCTGGTTATTTTATTTTTCATTGGTCCCGAGTCTCTCACCCTGGGTGCTGTTCTTGAGCTTCTTTTGCTCAAAGCTAGTACTCTACCACCTGAGCCACAGTGCCACTTCCAGCTTTTTCTGGGTAGCTTATTGGTGATAAAAGTCTCACAGACTCTCCTGCCCCAGGCAAGCTTTGAATCAAGAGCCTTAGATCTCAGCCTCCTGAACAGCTAGAATTACAATGGCACCCAGCTTTGGTGGTTTTTTAGAAATGAAGTCTAGCAAGCTTTTCTGCCCAGAGTGGTCTCTATATCTTAGCCACTTACACTGCTAGGACTACAGGCATGGGCCACCTATTTATTGATTTTTAAAAACTTCCAGACTCATTCCCTTTAGAAGTTGGATGAACAAGAAAACAAAAGTTCCCCTGTCAGGATACCATAAACCATGACTCACTTTTGAGTGCTTTCCAAGTTTCAGTACAGCCCATATTGATTAAATAAAAAAAGGACGCACTGCCATAGGCAAAGAAGTGTAAATGTCACTGGGGTTTCTGTCCCAAGGTTGTGAGTACTCTACAAGGGAGTACTCAGCACAGGCGTCTGGAGAGCAGTTCTGCTGTCTGCTTCAGGTGAGGCAGAGGCTCCGGTCACCTCACACTTCCACAAGAAGCGAGAAGAGGCAAGGCCCCTCCATCACAAGTGTGCAGAGCAGTTTCTTGGGGAGGGGGCGGGAGAAGGACAGATCGGGCTCGAAACCACACTTCCCGGTGAGGAAGCTCCTGTGGGGGCTTGCCTTTCCCCAGATGAAGCTTACCGACAAGGTTGAGTCCAAATTTCATAAATTTCACATGGTTCATGGGTAACAATGCACACAAAGCAATGCTGAAAGGGGGTGTTTTGGGTTAGTATGGTTTGTGCCGTCTTTCTTGTAAAGACTAGAATTACTCATCAGTACTTACAACTCCAACTGCCTGTGGAGAACAGCAGTGCTCTAAACAGTGCCCGTCTGGGTGCCTGGGCAAACAGCAGCCGCACAGGAGTGACCCTAATGCCCGCTCCCCAGGTGTCCCCAACGAGCGCAGTTGCCACCCAGAGAGGACACAAAGAAGGAATGCGTCTGGAGAACATCCCAGCTGCCCTTCAGAAGCCAGAACAGAAACCAGGAACAGCTGCCACCCAGGCCTTGGCGCGCACTGTAGCAGTGTAAGCAAACACACCCTCCAGCCACTGATAATCTGTGGGATGAAAAGCACTCACGCTGCACTTGTGCCCAGAACCCAGCTTGTGCCCTGGACCCCTGCACAGGACCAGTCGGCCCCTCCTCACACAGCCCAAGACAGCAGGAATTGGCAACCTCCACACTGATCACAGACGGACCAGGCCGGGTCGAGGTGGAGGGAAGCTGAGGGTGGAGAAAGATGCCCGGCTCCTGAGCTAGGCCTGATCCAGCCTTAACTGGAGGTTGTGAAGCAAGTCATGGGGTGTCTGCGGCTCTACGAACCAAGGGAGTGACACACACACATACACACACGCAGGCGCACACACACACGGGGACGCGGGCCCAGCTGGTCCCACGCAGAGCCCAGCTCGGAGCCGCGGAGGGGGCCGGGGACCTGGGGTCCGGGGCCGGGCGTCACCCTCCGGAGCCCCGCCGAGCCGGCGCGGGCCGGGCCTCCCCGGACCCCTCGTCCAGAGCCCAGGGTCGGTGTCCCAGGGAGGCTGTGAGTGTCCGCGGGGCCCACCCTGGGGGAGGCGTGGAAACCGACTCGGGTGGCTCCGCGTCCCTGCGTCCCGAAGGGCGGACGGCGCCCGGGACACCGCCC